AAGTGGGAAAGGGGAAGGACCTTTGGGCTGGAAAGCAGGAGAACCGGTCTGAGAACTTGGCTGGGCATCTGGCCCTAAAAAAGAACAACATGACACACGCAATTTGTCAGGTTTGTTCGTTCTCCATGGGTTGGCATTTCAAGCATGAGTGACGAGGCGAGCCCTGGAGGTGAAACACAACTTCAGTGATTTTAGAGTTGGGTAATTCTGGATGACAACTGAAGGGACGGATTCATTTTCTTCCCTTTCTACCTTCTCCCAGCCAGTAAGTCTTCCAGATTGATTATAAAGTGGTTATCCCAAGAGTGACTGGGTCACAGATCAGAGGGTTTGGCTTTGGCTTCCTGTATTATTTAAACCCAGCCATCTGTGATTTATTCAACAAAGTTTGGTTTGGCTAACTTCAGCTTACTATTATTATTCAGCTTACCTTGTATTGGGTGAGGCTCCTGGCTTCTGTCAGGGTGCCAGGCTTCCTCTAAAATACTTCTACCACCATCCCACCTTTTCTTTTCCAATACACACACCTTTCCTTAGCTCCTGAAAATTCACATTCACAGCTAGTCAAAGAATGTTAGGGACATGCATCTATGGAGGTTAACAAAAGTGTGGGTTTTGCACTTCTGCAGAACTCCCCATCTAGCTTCTTGTACAAGTTAGCAATTTTTGCCCAGGCCTAAGGCTGGGTTCACGCATGTTGCTAAACCATAAACCATGGTTTACAAACCATAATGACTGAGTATACACTCCAAGCAAGCCAACCACATGATCAGTTAGTGGGAAATGTGAACCCAGCCATCATCTGCTATGATTCACATATGCTGTAAGTCGTAGCTTGTTTAGATATGCTTTATTGAACAAACTACAGTGGCTGGGTTTACCGAAATTTAGGGCTATCAGATCGGGGCTGCAAAACACCAGACCACCACTAGAGGGCAATCAAATGGGTTTCTGTACCAATTTGCTGCCATCTAGTGTATGTGCTGATCTTTGCAGCCCAGATCTGAGAGCAAACCTTGCTATGCTCACCAGGCGAAACCAACCCAATCAAACTATATCATAGCTCAGCAATCTGGATGCCCTGAATCCCAAAACTGATCATGGGCAAGTGGAAATAAAGCCACTGATCTATTGTAGGTGAGCTGGTGCCCCCAAGCTAAACTGCTGGAAGGAACATGATTGCCTATACCTTGGCTTAGATAAATAAAATCAGAGGCTTTATCCCTCTCCTTAGAATTTGGTATGTTAATCCTAGGGGGAAGAAAGCAGTAAGATTTATTTTGCAATTGAAAAAAGCTTATCTATATATCTGAAATAAACAAAGTTCATTTTCCTTCCAGGGTGGACCATTTTATGGTGACTTGGCATTCAAAGAAACTATAGGACAGAAAGAGCAGGACTGGGTGGAAAGTATCTATGACAAGGATTTGGGACAGCTTCACAACAGCTCAGAAGGGATCGAAGTATTGATGTTTATTTTATTTTATGTTTATTTTATTTGTGCCTTTGAGCCGGTTTTTGACTCCTGGCAACTGCCTGGACTAGTCCATGCAGGTTTCTTGGTAAGATTTTCTGGAAGTGGTTTGCCCTTGCATTCTTCTTCCTGGGGCTGAGAGAGAGGGACTGGCCCAAGGCCACCCAGCTGGCTTCATGCCTAAGGCAGGACTAGAACTCAGTCTCCTGCTTTCTAGCCTGGTGCCTTAATCACCACACCAAACTGGCTCTCTTGTATTATTTAATACAAGAACAAGAACATTAGCTTCCATCTCTGGGCTAACCAGGAATACATTCCACCCAGGTTTGGAATTCAAACACAGTTGTAGCTGGCTAGAACCAATTTTCTAAGGCAAGTGCATAATATTGATACTATCAATTTAAAGACGCATGATTTTGCAAATAAACTCAAGCCCGGATGTTGTGCTAAGGGTGCATCACCAGAAGTTAAGATGACAATGTTTTAAAACACAAACCATACCCAGCTCCTGAGACTAAACTCTCCGGCTGGGATAAGATGTATTCACTTTGGGTTGCACTGTGTGAATTGAGTCAATAGCAGTTTAGTCTATGAACCACCATTTAAACAAGAAATGGATTTCCCCAATATAGAAAACCAGCTAATAGTCTAGTTCAGGCCCCAAGCCACCAAGCTGAGTTTCCCTTTCCTTAACATTTTGTGGGACTCTGGTTTCAAAGCTCACCTTCTCTGGTGAACCAAATTGTCATTCCCAAACCGCTGTGATGGATATTTTTGCAGGACAAAATGGGCTTGGCTCCTTTGCAGCTGAATGGAGATGTAGACACTACAGCTGATTTCAGTAAACCATGGTTCAGCAGATCATAGCTTAACATGATGTACAGATCCAGTCATTTTGTACAGCTTCTTCTGAAACTAGTGCCCCAGGGTTAGACTCCTGGAATCCCCAATCACCAGGGACCAATTTGGGAGTCTGTGTGAGGCTGGCAGAATCTGGCATTTGAAGGATGTAGCTGCAGCCAGTTTGGGAAGGGAGGATTCAAAAAGCGATCCATGTCCTATTTTAACCTCCAATTTAGCCTCTTCCTCACAACATACTAGAGTTGGAATAGCTGGCCAATTTTGCAGTAATTCCTGGGACTGAATAATGAAGTGGTCGTTTATTCGAGCAGAAAACTGGTCACATCCAACCCAGGTCTTGTCTGAAGTCCTGGATGACCTTTCTGCATTCAAGCTAGACAGACATCTGCTGGAGGAACAAGGCTTGGGCTGTGCAGCTTGGTTTGTTGGAGACATTGTAGGAGAAGAGCTGTGTAGGGTGGCAAAAGATCAGGAATCTGGAAGCACCTTTTCCAACTCGCATATTTTATTCAAAGGCAGCAGCTTTTGAAAGCTTCTGCCTTTCAATAAAATGTGTGAGTTGGAAAAGATCTTTCCAAACTCCTCAGTTTGTTCGGATGCTTCCCACTTGCTCAACAGAACAATCTGGATATACAGCGCTATGCCATACTTGGCTTAACTGCATAAGCCAGGATTGATGGGGTTGGCCCAGCAGACAGTCCCAAACTAAACCCAATCAGTCCCATTCTCGGGTTAGCATGGGATATAAGAATCCTGCCTGCTGATCATCTTCAAGAAACCTTTGCCCAGGAATTCCGTCTTCTTCCCTAGAACTGGTTCATTTATTTATGCAACGATGGAGAATATGCGTAGCTCAGGGTTGAATGGGTGGCTTCTTGGTGTTCCCTGATCTTTGTTGCTTTCTTGCAGAAGTTTCATTAGCAGGCAAGGTAACCTCAGTGTGCACAGGAAGAAAAGCAAGTTCACACCACAAGCACTCATTTATTTTTTGCAGAACAGGGTACTAACAAATTTCTTCCAAACTGGGGCCATGAAGGACGCAGGCAGGAGTCGATCCCAACCCAGAGATCTTCCCTTTTCTCTTACTCCTTGCTGTAATTCCACAGCCTTGCTCCCAACGGATCTCCAGACTGAGGGGTGGGGAAGGGAGAAGCAGGAAGAGTGATCTGAATCTGATTAATAAACAATAACAGGTTTCTGACTTTCCCCTTTTGATACCTCTGCTAATTTGCAATATTTAGAGAAGCCAAACTGTAAATGATTATATTTGCCATGCTGCGTGATGTGTTGTATGTATGGGAACCATTCTTGCTTAAATTTAGTCAAACTAAGTCAGAAACCTAATAGGTTTTTTAAAAATTATTACTATTATTTTTTTTCTCTTTTTCTACTTTTTGGGTATTTTAATTCTTGTTAAATGTGTTCCATTCATCTATTTTTTCCTCTCATTAATATGTGTGTATATATAAAATAACAACACAATGAAGATTTTAATATTAAGTAATTAGCTTCAGACCGAAACCTATATTACTTAACAAATACTTTGATGGAAGTTGTAGTGGTTTTTTTACAATGTCATACTCAATGACATTTGAATGATTAATTCAAATAATTTTAATGCTTGGAATATTAATATCCTAAATTGTAATTAATATTGACAGAATATCTTTTTTTCTCTTATTTTCAGTACTGTTAACTAAGTAACAGAATGCCAATAATAAACATTACTGTATTGAAATAATCAAGGCTTGTAACAACATAATAAAAAGGGGGAAAAAGAAAATGGTAAAAAAATAATACTTTGTTTAGGGCTTCGCGTATTGAATGAATCTAGCCCTGTGGTGGCTTGTAAATCAGGGTCTACGGCATAACTGAATGTGTGGACAAGCCTGTGTTAGTCAAGAAGCCATGATTAAACAAACCAAAGACTGGCCGCGCAGTGACCTCCCTAAGAACCGCTGCAGACCTTACGGAGAATGGGAATTTCTTTTCTCTTGACACCTTTCCCGAGATTCCCAACCGGGTTCCCCGTTTGGCTTTGCGGCAAGAATTATCGGTGAGCCGGTCTCTGCAAAGGGGGGGGGG